CCTATAGGAAATGAACTGTAATAAATATTTCATTGGTAGGCTTCAATTAATGAATGAAGATTTTAAAGTCCAAATAAATGGGAAAATGCAATTAAAGTTGGATTCAACAATGAAGTCAGAAATCGGCCTACCCCTAGTTGACCTCCGACTATTTTTGGTTTTTAATTGGATTTTATAAGTAAATCAGATAAAATTTTACAAATCTACCACCTAAAATTTAATTGGATTTACAAATCTACCACCTAAAATTTTATATTTATATTTATAACATTTTGATGCTACAAGTTGTTAGGTATGACTCATATACCAAGAATTTGGAGTCTCTTGGATTTGGAGAGGTGTGAAGAGGAGTGTCTCTTGGATTAGTAGGTTGGGCGGAGCGAGGGCGTGTTTGTAATTATCTGTGAGTTTTATCTATAAATAGATGTGTAACCCTATGAGTATGTAACACTTTTAAAATAGTGAATTCGCCGTTTTGCTCCCGATGATGTAGGCATCATTGCCGAACCTCGTTAAATCTCTGTGTTCTTCTTCAGATTTTCTGTCGATTCTGTTTTTTCTTCGTCCTAAATTTCACAACACAAGCTTATACATGATATGCAAAATCCACTTTTTAAAAAGTTGATAATAATACTATTTTTGATTTGATATCAAACATTTGAGTGTTATCCCAACAAATATGAAAAATATATGTGTTTTGATGAGGAAATACACAGAAATTTTGTGGTGTTTATGTAAATGCGCTCAAGTTTAAAATGGTAGTTGCCAGAAGGACTGAGGAGGAATCAAATTTATGTTTTGTTTGTTTGTTGATTGAGATGATAGTCCAATTGGGCACTATCATGACCAGTGTCATCAAATAATTGAGATCCGGCATTCTCTTACCTCCGGTCAACAATGTTATAATATTTTACATTTACAATTTTGGCAGATGCTCAAATATCAATTTCTCATGCTTTAGACTCCATGATGAGAGCCCACGTCATATGCTAATTATTCGAGAACCCCGCGCCATGGAGGATCAAACGCCTGATCTGAGGAGACTTACAGTGATCCTGCCACCAACAGACTAAGGATTGTGCACAATATATATATATATATAATAGGAAGAAAATTCTTATGTAAATTAAGGATGCAAATCAACATTTACAGTCAATAAGAAAATAAGGCAATATAAATAATAAAAAATGCAATTTAAATTGTTACTTTCCTTTCCAAAATCTTTTTTATCATTATATATAGTGAAGTATGCTGTGATTGCAAGGAACCCCATTTGTCTACCCATATGATAACACACGTGTTACCACTTACTTGTATGGATATTCTTTAGGTATTTAATAGTAAAAACTGACATATGGGTTGTTTGATTGGACGTTTTCAAAATACAAGGATTTTAAAAAAGGTTTAATAGAATGTAAATCAAACGTATATATTTTATATATTCTTAATATGCTTATGTTATGATGTATTTCAAATGAATTGAAATGCAGATGATTAGAGGTACATGATTAGATGAAATGCAGAAATTTCTGAAGTTTGGTGTTTATATTTCATTTTGCGTACATGATTAGTAGAAATTTCTGAAGTTTGGTGTTTATATTTCATTTTCGCTTCAGGAATGGGGGTCTATGTCAAAGGCTTTGGATTTTGTGATTTTCTCTGGAGTTAGAGAGAAGAGAGAAGCGTTCCTGAGTTCTAAACTTATAGAGAGGCTTGAGTTTAGTGTAATATTTACATTTTCCCTTATTTTTTCACAATGATTTTCTTGGTGTGGACGTGCCCTCGTGCTTGTTTTTTTCTATTTTGGATTTTTCAACGTTAAATCTTGGTATTCTTGCTTATTTTTTTTATGATTTATTGTTTATTAGCTCGTGTTCAAAGCTCTGCTCTGGATCTGATCTCAAATTGGTGCTTCCACTTTTCTGCTCATATCTCAAACTGTTCAAAGTTTTGCTCTGGATCTGATCTCAAATTGGTGCTTCCGCTTTTTCGCAACATATTGTTATACTTTTTATATTCTCAAAGCATATCTTAAAATTCTACGATATCATGAGTACAAATCAACATTGAATGCTAATTAAAATGAATGTTCTTCATAGTCAACATATGCAATGATTAGGTCAAACTATTTGTTTGTCCATAGTGTTTCATTTTTAAGACTTATCTCAATGAATTCATCAATTGTTTGCAAAACTTAAATCGTAAGATGTAATCACTTATTTGATACTTTCTATTTTATCTAAGATGTAATAACATTAACATTGGAATCTTTATGGCTGCCAATTATGGCAAACACTTTGAAGATTGATATTAGTAATATATTTTTTTCTTAGAGATCTAAATAAAGCAATACAAATGGAGTAAACATTTTGCTTAGTGGGAGAGTAACACACCTACCCATTTAGAATGGCTATTTATGGGCTCGGGTATATTCCACATGCTAGCATGAGTAGATTAATTTTGCAAGGTTATTTTAAAAGTTGATCTTTGTAGCAATGCCATTGACCAATACTCTATTTTTATAAAACACAAGATAAAAATCTTAGTTTTCTTGTCCATATATAGATGATATTATGTTTTCTTGGTGAATTAAAAAAACATTAGAATTAAAACATCATTTATAAAATAATGTTGCAACTAAAGATATATATATATATATATATATATATATTTTCAAATAATTTCTTAAAATTTAATTTGCATATAGAAAAACATGATCTCTCTATCTAAGAAAAATGACATTAATCTCTCTGAAGAAACTCATCGATTAGGTTCAAATCAAGTAACACTGCATACCTTATGATGATCCATTATCAAACTAAACATAGCTAAAAATTTAATTTTTTAATTATAATTGCGAGCCAACATATGAATAGCTTTAAACTTATTAATTAAATATTTTTCTTTGGAAACTCCTATAAATAAAAAATGCTCCTAGGAATGGTTTAATCTATACTTAAACTTACTGCTTCAAGTATTCTTTTTATTATTATTATATGTTGTGCTCGTTGATGAAAAAATAAAATTTTTAACATTGCAATTTTGTTGGAGATTAAATGATTTTAAGGTACGACGATCATGTTACCGCATACATTAATGATCTAGTGTTTCTTGAAATGACCAAACATGTTTAAGTTCATGGATACTTCATATGAAGATTGAAGTTCTCACAACTTGAGTGAGAAAGTTAACCTATGATGATTTTAATTAGGAAAAGTAACATAATACAAGTTTTATATTGAGGCATTATAAAATTAAAAAATATATATTCATAATAGTAATTAAAATCATTTTCATTTATTTCCCTTTTTATTTATTTCTTATCATTCTCATATTTTACTCCTCTAAACAAAAATCTATAGCCAATAAATAAGAACATAAAATTCTCTTTATATAACAACTTCCACATGCTTCTCCTAGAAGATGTGTTACTACACCACATTCCCATTACAAACTAAAACATAAACTCATAATAGTTCATGAACCAAAGGCAGAATGTCAAGGAATGCCACCACACCCACGAGGGCTAGCTGTTACAAATTCTTCGTCTAACACAGAAGCCAAATTAGAAACGAATCCAAATTAGCTCATTGAATATATATATATATATATATATATATATATATATGGTACCAAGAATATATGCTAATGAAACTAAAAATAGCAGAATATTCAGCAAAGTATGCAGACCCTTAAGCTTATGGATCTAAACGAAATTAATTAACAAATTCAGTACTGTTTATTTGATTAATATTTGTCTTTCAGCATTAAATACAGATTAGAAGTCTACTGACTTGAACTTATTAAGGAAGCTGGGTACTGCTGAAAGTTTGTTGAACTGATCTAAAGCAAAGCAAATCAAGTCAAAAAAGGAGAGCCACTTTGGACTTACAAAACATACAGAAATCCAAATGCTCTTTTCCTGTCTACGAAGTTTGATATTTCCTATTATGAACTAGCGCATCTTTGATGAATTAATGCTTAAATTAATCACATTGCTAAATTATATATTCAGCACTTTTTTAGGTGAAATATATATATATCATTACATCTTGCACCCACTTATAATATCAAAATAAATAAGAAATTGACTCTTTTTAGAGTTTAGAGTGCTATGTAATTCATGCTAAAAAACTATGGCAGTATTTCGTAGCACCTTTTTAATAGGATTTAGCCTGAAACAAGCCAAACATAAAAAAAAAATAATAATAAAATAAAAATTAATTTACTAAATTCTATTTATGAAGCTGATATAAGAATTTATTTCATCATGTTCTCCATCTTCATCTCTATTTCCATCAATATAAATCCAGATTTTTGGGATTTACTAAATCCTATTCAAAGTAAATGTAGGTTGCAACCAAACAATCCCTAAAACGTTAAATCAACAATATTTCAAAAAAAAAAAAAAAAGTAGAATTAACAAAATAGATAAAGTGATATGGTGGCCTTTGGCTGTGAACAAAACATTTTTAATTTTATATACATGAGAAGAATGATTTATGAAGAGCTTGTTGGCAAAAAAAAAACATTTTCTATAATAAAGATGATGTTAAAAATGCATTGACATTGGTAGGTTCAAAGAACATTCCCTACAACATTGCTTATCAATCCCAAAAATTCATCATATTTCTAACAACTAATAGTAGTGGTTTTTGGATAGCCGTTGGACATTGGCAGCAGGCTGAAACTTTTTCTGTCTGATTCTTCTAACTTATAGAGAGGAAAATCTCATGGAGCCATGCTAATTAATAAGCTCACAAATTTCTCAGAATATGAACTGTTGAATGGCATTAAGTAAATTGTATATTAATTTCTCTATTGATCGATTACTTAGCACTTCTCTCTATAGATTAACCAAAATCACATCACTGTGCCTTTGATTTGGAAAAATGTATCGTCCTATTTAACGGTTCTCACATAATCTGTTATAACTAAACGAAGCTAGGAAAAAAAAATAGCAAACTCTTCTTCCATTATGAAGAAATATATCTATAGCCATTAATAAGTCATTGATGCCATTCTTACATCATAACACTAATTATATTCATCATTAGCTTCATCAAATATATATACATTGTTCCCTGCTTATTTTCAAATCGAATATCTAAAATTCCTCTCCAGCTGACTTGTTCACATTGGCAATGTAAGAATAAGGCAAGGAACTACTTGTCTCCCCTGCTCCATACTCATCAACCTCCTCCTTTGCAACTCTTTCTCCGCCGCCGCCGCCACCGTCCATCGCTGCTCTTCGACTCATCCCCGTCATGAGAGCCGGCATGTTGTAGAGGTCAAGAGATGGCTGGGACATTCCCGGCGAGGCTGGACCAACCGACGGAAGCTTTGAAAGTAGTGCTTCAAGACTGGTCATTGATGGTTCTATCCTCATCTGTTGGCCAAACTGGTCGAATAGATCGTAGGGCGGCGCCGCGAGAGCTCCGTGAGGGACTGGTGGAGACGGCCAGCCGTCGGGCTGCTGGTCTTCCAACCTTGTGGGGATTGTAAATGATGAGGGGTGTGGGAAGAAAACACCAGGGATGCCATCTAGGTATGCAAACATGTTCCTGAGGTGGACTACAAAGCTGAGGTCTTCCATAACCTATATTATTATTATTATTATTATTATTATTATTTTCATGAAACAAATAAATAATTAATTTATTTTACATATAAGATTAATATGATGATAATGAATCCAGCTACTATAAATAATGATTCTCTTGAATAGATATAAAATGTAATAGAATATAACTTGAAGGGGGCTAATGAGACATGGGGGTTACTTTGTTAGAACAAAATGTGATAAATATGGAGAAGTCAGATTTAGAAAGACAATTAACAACTCAAATCAATGTAGATTCTACATTAATTCTAAAAATGTTGAACTCATGCATGCATAATATGTTTCATGTGCACGTGTAATTAAGGTTGATGTGCATTGTATTCTAGAGTTCGTGTTTTATTAATTAGTTAATTACAATTTTCATTTATTAATAAAGAATCATAAGTATAACATTCCGATATTACCTACATAGAGAGAGAGAGAGAGAGAGAGAGAGAGAGAGAGAGAGAGAGAGGGAGAGAGGGGGAGACCTTGTTGACTGCTCCAAGTTGAACTACTCCTTCTCTGACTGCAATCAAAGCAATAGTCTGCATAAATGAGAGCTCAAATTAGGGAAATTATGTATGAAAAATGCACAAACAAAAAAATAAACATCCAAATTAACAAAAAAAAAAAAGAAAAAGTATATTGATTTGATGTTAAAATGCCATATATATGAATAAAGCACAACTATAAAAAATAAATGCATTAATTATATGCAAATAAAAAAAAAATTAGCTGCACCTTAATTCCAGACTGGAACTGTGCTGCCCATGTCCTTGGATGCTTGAAAAGCATAGCAAATCAAAATGAAGAAGATTAATAAGCATTAAAAAAAAATTAAGAACAAAATATTTATACAGCATTCCACATACAGAATCTGGTGGTTCTTTAGATGATGCAGTAAGCTCCTTATAAACCCATTTATAGCTTTGATCTGCTGCAACTTTGCCAATCAAACTGCACAATAAGACATCTAGAGAATAATTAGCAAATTAAGCAGTCATTAGACTAAACTAATTAAATTTAACAATACAATCCACCCTTCTCCATAGTTGTAAATCTCATGAGTCATTTTGAAGAAGGTCTCCGGCTGAAGCCCATCGGTCGCCTGAGCTTCGCCTCCTCCTTCGCCATAACCTGCCGCTGACGAGCTCGCTCCGCATGCCTGCTGGATTGCAGAAGCAGCGAAGTTGCAGAATCCATCCTCCCATACAAGAATCCTAAGCAAGTAAATAAGATTAACTGACAGGAGGAACATATATACCGGATATATAAAATTTCACAGCATAGTAAAACTTCTAACCAATTTCTTTTGTTTCCTCTACCTCGATCATAAGCTCCTCCTTGAAAATCCCATCTGCCATGGAAGGACGGAGAAGGGAACATATTAACCAACTGATATAAAACTAAAAATACAATTTTTAATTTTTTTTTCATCTTACTTTGGTGGTGGGAAGTTTCTGGGGAGGATTCTCCAGAAGACAGCATAAAGCCATGGAGAGTTATCAGTGATGCAGAAGCTCCGAAGTGTGTGTTGGAGGAGGTGGGTAATGGCCAATGGGTTAAGCTGTTGATCTTCCATGACAGGTATGAAGAAGAAGAAGAAGAAGAAGAAGAAGAAGAAGAAGAAGAAGAAGAAGAAGAAGAAGAAGAAGAAGAAGAAGAAGAAGAAGAAGAAGAAGAAGAAGAAGAAGAAGAAGAAGAAGAAGAAGAAGAAGAGGGGAAGTAAGAGGAAGATGGCTTTTTGGAAATATAACACTTGCTAGCTTATGAATGGAATCCATATACTGAACCGAATATATGCATATACGCGTTCTCTCTCTGTCTTATATTCTTTGGTCTGAGTGATAGAAGATAAAGCTCTACAAGTGTGATCCCTGGAGCCCCCACAATAAGGCTATCTTCTTTCAAAAGAGTCATCATTGGTGCTTTTTGACCCCTTTTGGTTACATCTTGGAATTTGTAAATTGTTTCTTTTTTTGAATTTTGAAATTTTTATTGAACTTATCTGAAAAACTATAAAGTACTATATTTCTTATATTTTCATAATTTTCATTAAATATCAACAAACTGATTAATTCAGATGGAAGTTTAACTTTTAATTTATTTGTTTTTATAATATTTAATATTTAATTTATTTGTTTTTATAATATTTAATGGATGTTTTAATGATTCGGCAATTTTGAGTAACTATCAAATTAAATTAATGAAATGTTTTTTTTTTAAAGTAAGATTTAGTTAAGAGGTTTTGAAAGAAGATACTCCCTCATCTAAATTAAGAGTTTTCTTGTGTGACTTCGTTTATCTAAGATGTAATTAATTATAAGGCATTTTCATTATAGAAAACTTTAAAAACACATCTTAAGATAAACTCTATTTAATTTTTTATATTAAATAATAGAACTTGTCAGTCAACATAAAAAATGATTTTCGCAGTCTAAACGGATGTAATAAATTTTTTAGTTTATTTAATCGAGTCTCACTAGTAATTAATGCATCTACTCCTCGGGACAAATGCATTGATTGCAGTGTTAGGCTCGTTTATTTAAACTATCGTTCATATGAGATTAGTTTGGTCTCGTATTTTCAAAATTAAAATTATGAGAGCGACAATTTCTTGCGACTCCGCTAGGGATGTAGTTTCTCTCTTCTTTGTGATTAGGTAGTATTGTCTTCATATATCAGTAATGTGTCAATGTCTCTTATGGATCAAATTGTTCTTCTTTCATTGATATGCTTCATCCATTTTTTTAAGGATGGTCAACTCTTTCGGACTTCAGGACCGTTTGTTCAATTATCTTTGGACAAAGAGGTTCAGGAGTTCATTAAAATTTTTATCTTTGTGTAGGGTGTGTGGGTTAACTAGTTTCACCTGAATAATGAGCATTGTGATTTTTATCTTTCGCATGTGAAATTTTTGTTCTTTTATTTTTTTATCAAATACGCATAATATTTTAAATTTGAATAGGAACATATATCCGCTTATCTTTATAAGTTTATTAATGTGAATTTTCTGAAATTATTAACTTTATAAATTTAAAAAATAAAAAAAATTTGATATATTTATATTTTTTTAATAAAGGAAAGCGTAAAGTCCGAGGCATTGGAAATGGAGTAGCTCAGCGTCTGATCAGAAAGTGCTCTCAGCTATCACAACGCAGCTTTCTCAGATTTCCCTTCCATTCACATAATCACATCCCTTGATGTGATGAGGGAATCAATGCTTACGTCCTAATTTATTTTAATTAAAACTTTTCTTAATTATTACTAAAATGTCAAAATTAAATTTCTTCCTACATTTAATTTGTGCTTCAAATTTTAAATTTTTTTAAAAATTATTTCTTAATAGAAAGGAAAAAAATATATATAATTTAAATATTAGTTTTAAAAAGTCAGCTGACAAATCTATGGTTTTTCATGGTGATGTCTAGTACAGATTGAATGACTCTTATATTTTTCACTTTTTTGTTGGGAGAATTTAATTTTTATCGACATAAACAAATAACAGTCACAGTTGGTTATAGAAGTTGTAGTTAACTCTATAAATTATAGTTGATTGTTATGACAATCGTAATAGAGTTATCAATGAAGTTATAATAATCATGGTAGAGCCATCAAAATTATATTTTCAGGCTGTTGACAATGGCTGTGGTCTATGATGATCCCTCGTGATAGATAACGAAATTCGGTGATTAACGACGAATTCTGGTGGTCGACCACAATCTTGGGTGACTGGCGACAGCCGCAATGACTTTAAAAGCTAAGCTTTAGTAGTTAGCTAACTTTACTTTTCTACAAGTGAAAAATGAGGGTCTACTTATAGTTTTTTAGAGGGAAGTTTTGATAAATTTGATCAATCTCCCAAAACACTACATCGAACGGTCCACATTGATTTCCTTGATCTCATTTATTTTTTTTTTAGAGAGCATCTCCTCCACTGCCTTTTTCATTTTTTTTTTAGAGAGCATCTCCTCCACTGCCTTTGCTCGGATATACTTGTTGTCGTCAGAGAGGTGTCATAGTTCCTCGGTCACCTTGCCCGTCAGCACATGGGTAACCGTCGCATCGGCATTGTATTGGGGGATGGAGAGGCAGTGCCGGTCAACATTGTCTGGCCGACCTCCATGCTCTTCGGAAGGGACTTTGGCTTGTGCGCTACTTGCTATGACCGCTCAATCTGGATTCCTCAAGGGTCGGGACAAAAGCTGACAAAAAATTTATGCTTCAAATCCTTTATTTTATTCTCTACTCCCAACCAGTTATGCTTCTTGCTCGTCGAGAACATGTCATATCCCCCTTATCGACCTTGAATGAAAAGAAATGTGTGAATAGCTCGATCGACCAGGATATGCGCTCTCAACGATAGTAGAGGATAAAGGTTATCACGACAAGCAATACTTGTACCTGAATGACCTCGTATGTGTTAAAAACGCTCTGAAAATCGCTGAACAGAGGCAACTAAAGACCATATTTGAACTGGTCCCGAAAAAATACAAGATCGATCTCCACTAAGTTTGTCGCTTGTGCCACTCCTAACAACTTCCAAAGAGCGACGCTGCCATCCAACACATATCTCTTTTGCAACTCCTTCACTTCGTTCTCCATCAAAAAATAAGTGATCAACACCCCTAAAGGAGTTGAGAGGGTGGGGGAATACTTCAGGGACATTTCCGAGAACAAGGAACAGTTAGAAAATGAAATGAGAGAAGAAGGAAAATCAAAAGCTCGGAGGCAAAAACCAGAATGCGTAAGGTAAGAAGCAACATTTTCGTGCCCTATTTATAGGGCAGACGTGTAAAACGAGGCTTCACGTACTGATAAGTGTCTCACCAAACATCTTTTCAAATTTATTCAATTATTGTTCCATTTTCAAATAACATTATCACAGGTCTAGAACAAAATAGTTTATGAGCGGGTCTTCGAAGGCCTCACTTGGGACATATCCCAACCTTGCAGTAGAACTTGCATAGGCTAGTCGACTCACCAAGTGCTCCTAGCTCGCGCAACACATCATCCAGCTCATTCCACAAAGTGGCTACCTCCGCCCACATGGCCGCTACCTTCGAGCCTTGGGTTGCTGGAGGTGCAGGTAACTCTTGCACTGGACCAACGGCCAACCCTCCGGCCACCCCTACAGAGGGGCCAACTATGTCAGAACAAAATCCAGCAAACTCGAAATAGAGCTGTCGCTATTCATATGAAACCTGGTGAGAAGCCTATAGAAGGGGACCAACCGAAGACATAGGTTCGGGCTATGGGCACTCCCCTTTACCAGTCAAGGTTGAGGGCACAACAACCACCCCTTAAGGCTCGACCATAATATTGTGGGCCGACTAAGCTGCATCCTTTGGCAGTCCTCCGCCCAAGCGTTCATTCGAACCAACAGACTCGTTTGCATCAAAATGGAAAATAATTTTCTTACATATCCATAGACCTCTCCATTGAAGAAAAGGTGTGGAAGGGCTTCTTTCCCCCTCGTACCCAGGCACCTCCACGTTATTGCGGTTGCGGCCGAGGAAAGAGACTAATCTCCACTCCCTCCGACCTCTTTCCACCCTCCTTGACATCTTCAGCAAGCAGGGCTTTTTGGCCCTCAAAGCTCATACATGTATCAAGCTCAGTGGCCCTAATCTCCTAGCGAGGGACTCTTGACGTCCGCCCCTTCAGATCCCAATATGAGTTAACCCGATCAAACGACACAGGTTTGAGTTTCAACCTTTTCCTTTTCTTTATTCTGTCCTCCTTTATTGAAGCCAAGGATCTGTAACATACTTTCACTTGAATTTTGGGTCCAAAGCGGTTCGACTCGAACCATCAGCCATGGTGCAACTCAATTATTAAAGCCAGAAAAATGGCAACAGATACAATGTCTAGTCTATGACTCTATTTATAGAACACTCCAGATACACAATCTAAGGGGAGTTAATTATTGCAGTGATTTTCTAGATTCTAGTACCTTTGAACGCTCATAATGCCTCCATCCTTATCGTAGATGTCGCTTTCAAGGGGCAGGAAATTTGAGGAACTGATATGTATACACCAAAACTTTCAGCTTGAAACTCAAAGCAATCGAATGAGCTCAATGGCGGGTAGACAATCAAGACATCCTGCTGTTCAATAAGCGATCGCGTGATTAGAATCAACCGACACACTATTGCGAGAGATTCAATCGGCGGACCACACCCGCTGTCTTAATTGACCAAGACACATGTAAAAGCCTTTCACTGCGAGCTAGTCGGCTAACCTGCTTTTCCAGGGCGGACGAGATTGTCATTCAACAAGCATCAGCCGACCTACTTTTACTTCGGAAGACGCAGTCGTCACTCAGCCGGTCGGCTCAGCCGACCAAATTCAAGTAAACCAATCAACGAATCACCTTCATATTAGAATTCAAATTATAATACATATATAGTTCAAAATCTATAGAATTAATTAGAATATCAATTGTATTAAGAACGGTTTCCATAACTGTTCCCTACTTTCTGTAATTGTACAAATACACCCTTATAAATAGGAGGCAAAATGAAAAATAAATGGGTCTCTCTTCATTCTCTCTACAGTAAATTCTTGATTTATTCCCTACTTTCTCTATTCTTCTTCATCCAACTCTAACTCTTGAGGCATGTTCACAAATGACAATCTAGAA